GGGTAAAAAGTTGGCAGAGCTCAAACGCAACGCTTGGGAACCAGTGTGATCTGGCCGACAGCGCAGGGCCCCCAGGCACCCTCAGCGACAACATTCGGTATCGCGCATTTCCTGGCAGGTTCGGGAACATCTGCTTCGATATGGGCGTCACGGCCCAGCCGTGATCGCTAGTTTGGGGCGTGCCGGCGTGTCCGTGATCACCCGCTGCCGCACGTTCTGGACCTAGGTTGTTGCGGCCGGTGAGGAGGACAAATCGTGCCCCCCACCCAGGCACCTTCAGAACACCGGTTAGCTGGACAGCTCACCGGTGCACTGCGGCAGCGCCCCGTGGGGCGAACAAATCGTGCCCCCCCAGGGCGCCCGCAGGACACTGGTTAGCTGGACAGCTCACCGGTGCACTGCGGCTGCGCCCCGTGGGGCGGACAATTCGCGCCCCCTTTGGGGCACCTACAGAACACCGGTTCGCTGGGCAGCTCACTGGTGTCCTGCTGTTGCTTCGACCTCTTGGCAGCAAAGAGCGACTCGGGCTCTGTCATGCCGCACGCTCTGGTTCTAGGTTGTTGCGACCGGTGCGGCCGAACAAATCGTGCCCCCCCCCTCAGGCATCCTCATGACACTTATGATCTGGACCGCTCACAGGTGCACTGGCTAGGGGTAGCAAGCCGCCTTGACCTTGTGGCAACCGGTGAGCTTCCACATGACCTCCCTACATGGCTAGGGAGTCTGCGTGTGACGCTATTCTGGGGGATGCGAATTCATCTCCCGAGCAGGCGATGTGACACGCGTCGCGCCTCATCAATTGCTGGGTGGGCGGCGACGTGACCTGTCGCGAAGCCCCCACCGCCTAACCGAATGCGTCGAACAGAGGTGGCTGTTTCGGGTATGTCGACTACGCGCACCGCCCACCATTACACGGTGCCTTCAACGGTCCCCGCCCACGCTCTGGGACCGCAAGGGTTTTCACCCCAACCTTCACGAGCACCGCATCAAGGATGGGCGAGCCTATGTGCGCCATCCGACTGACAGGGTCATGCCTACCCTCAATGGCATCAGCGCTACACTGCGATCCTCCTGTTCCTCCTCCCTCCTCCCTCCTCCTGCTCCTCCTCCTCTTCCTCCTCCTCCTCCGTCTCCTCTTCCTCCTCCTCCTCCTCCTCCTCCTCCTCGACGGAAGTTGTTGGCGGTCTGCGCCCCCAGACCCCCGACGTCGCGAATGTACCCGCCTGCAGTCCGGACCCCAGGGCCGGTGCTTCGTCCCAAGTCGTTCTGTGATGGTCGCGGGGGCCGGCCAGGTGGCCCCCTGGAGGCTGACCGTGGCCCACCAACACCTCCCCGTCGTTATTTTTTGGGGTCGGGATCCGAGGAGGCGTGGGTCGGAAGACGTCCAGGAGCCGATGGAAGTCGTCGGAGCTTTGGGTCTGGCAGCCTTTTAAGTCGGGCCCGTCCCTCTGCAGGAGGAACATCCAAAAATAGTCCTCAAAACAGTCGGGGGACGATTTCCCGTATTTTTTTAAAACATATTTTTGAATATTTGTTTGTTGTTTGACTATTTTCGATTTTGCATCCATCCCCCTGTAGGGGGACACGCCCGACTTAATCGTAGCCCCCAGGGCCACAAGGTGGGAAGCTTCCGCTCGTCTTGGATTGGATGCATCTCGGCGCGCAGCGCCCAATAGCGTCCCATGACGCCCAATAGCGCCCAGCAGCGCCGAATAGTGCTCAGTGGCGCCGAATATTTCCCACCAGCGACCGCGCCACGTGAGGGAGATGCTCGCGACTGGGGGCGCCATTGGGCGCCATGGTGGCGACCAGAAACTTCCGTGAGCTGCTTCCTAAAGAAGGCCCAGGCATCCTGCGTTTCGATCACGGACCCCCGACCTCTCGACCACAATCCCGGGACCGGGGCTCGATCCCGAGTCGTCTGTTGATAGCCCCGAGGCCAGGCCGACGACTGTGAGAAACCTTCGTCCCGATGTTGTTCCGAGACGCCGGGTGTCTGGGCTCCTCGAGAATCAGGAAGGAGGCAGAGGCACAGACGGAAGAGGAACGCAGACGCCCAGGAAGTGTAGGAAACCATGGGAAGCGGAGGGGAAGACGAAGATCCAGAACAGATTCAAACACATGTGTTACCCCGTCTCCTCCTCCTCCTCCTCCTCCTCCTCCTCCTCCTCCTCCTCCTCCTCCTCCTCCTCCTCCTCCTCCCCCCCCTCCTCCCCCTCCTCCTCCCTTTCTCCTCCTCCTCTTCCTCCTCCTCCTCCGTTTCCTCCTTTCCCCTCCCGCCACTCTTCACTCACATTCACAACCGCGGAGAGCTCCGTGCCGGCCTCACTCGCCTCAGAGCCAGAGCGCCGAGCGCACAGCGCCTGGAGCCCGACCATTCGGAATCGTCGTGAAGAGTTCTCGGAGCAGCGATCCCGCCATTTCTGTAGATCTTTACGCGTGTCTCCCTGGGGTTATGTCGCTCCCGTCGTACTTGAGGACCACATCCCAGAAATGATCTCGAGCGCCCGGAAAAGTGTCGAAAAACAGGGTCGGGACAGCGTCGGGCGGGAGCCTCCCAGGGCCCGACGAGCGAGAACCATGGAGCCTCGGCACTTTTCTGGGGGTGCTCGAAAGTCTTTCTCGTGATCCAGGCGAAAGCAGGCTGGGACCTCATGCCCCTGGGGGCCCTTCTCAAGCTCGGAGGCTCCGAGCGGCTGGGCCGTGGCTGCTCTGGACCCCCCAGGCGCGGCCGCCCCCCTGCCGGCCGCGCGGAGCCGGGGACACCCAGGCCCCCTCGCGCTGCAAAGAGATCGCGGCTCACGGGGGAAGAGGTGCACACTGTTCATCTCCAATTCCTAGAGAGTTCTTGGACTTCTTGGGGGGCCAGGGTGCTTTCATGTCTGATTGTTCCATGCTGGGCCTCTTCCTGGCCACTGGGGGGCCACGAACAACTAGAAGCGAGCACACCTAGAAATGAGCACGATCAGAAGTGAACGACGGGTGCCCATACCGCTACCCTTCACTTGTTTTTGGGGGGCGCATCCTGGGAGGCCCTCGTCGCCACGGCTGGATGGTCTGGGGAGTAGCGGCATCGGTGCCTTGTGGTTTCCCGAGCGACTGGATGTGTTTCATGATTTTTTTCGGCCTCAGGGGGCCCTCACGCCTCGCGGCCGGCAGAAAACGATTCGATGCGGGATGAGAAGCCAGTCCCAGGGAAGGGGTCCAGACCTCTGGGAGCCGATGCTTTAAGTCGAAGCACCACGTCGAGGATCTGGGTGAGGGGAGGGGGGAGGGCTTCTAAGGAGCACCCCCGCTTCTTAGGTACAAGGCGCAGGCCTTCTCTGCAGGGGTAGGGGCCCGCGCCTTCTGAGACGCGGCCCTGCTTCTAAGAAGCCTCACCCCCCTCCCCGCATCATTAACTACTCCGAGTTTGTTAATGAGCGTCGGGGGGGCGTCACCCCCGCCGACAGCCCCGCATCGACCCCCGAGGCGGGAATTTGTACATGACCACCGCCTGGAGGATCAATTTTCGGGGACCTCGACTGGCGGCGGATATGGATAGATTCGGGCCCCCGGGGGCCAAAACATATCCATATCATATCCGCCGCCCGCTGGGGCTCCAGGACGCTGGTCCCCAGGCGGTGTGTCTGGATAAATCCCCGCCTCGCCGGATGAACTGCTTCCCGTGCGCGCCGCCGAGCGCTGGGCCCCAGGCGCGGCCGCCCCTTTCGGGCGATCGCAGACATGGATCCAGGGGGGCGTGGATTGGCGACGGGCCCCGCTTCCATGGGAGACCGCGGATCTCCGCCGCCGAGCGGGGCGGCATCGGCCGCACTGGGGAGGCCTCCTCCTCCTCCTCCTCCTCCTCCTCCTCCTCCTCCTCCTCCTCCTCCTCCTCCTCCTCCTCCTCCTCCTCCTCCTCCTCCTCCTCCTCCTCCTCCCCCCCCCCGATCCATGGATCCGGCGACCGCGCGCCAGATCCACGGATCGCGAATCCGCGTCTGCGCGCCCCCGGAGTGCGTCAGACATCGCCGGGGGCCCCCGCGGGGCGCCGGCCATCCGACACCGGCTCAGGAGGAAGCGCCAGTCTCGGGAGCGGAAAAGAGGGGGTGATGACTAGGGGGGGGTGGATTTCACGGCGCGGGCCGTGCTTTTTCCTCAGATTTCATGGCGCCCCTTCTTGTTTCATTGCGTCCCAGGCCCCCCCGCTGGGCAGCGCACTTGCCGCCGGTCATGATTTGCACCCCCCCCTCTTGGACCCCCCCCTCTTGGCCGCTCCCCGCAGTCTTAGGTTGGGCCTGTCCCTCCACAGGAGGAGTAATTTACGATGGTAAAAGATCGTTTTGGGGCGACCTTTCGATCATGTTTGCACATGTTGGTAGCAGTTTGGGAGTATTTTTTATTGTTTCGTTCAAGATCCCCTTGCGGTGGGCGGTCTTGGTTAGTTTTTTCGGCCTCTATGGGGGCCCCCGCCGGGCCGCCGCGACCATCAGAGAACGGCTCGGGATGACACGCCAGTCTTGGGTCAGGCCTGTCCCTCTAAAGGAGGAACATTCAGAAATAGTGCAAACATAATCTGGGGACAATGTTCTACCATTTTCGAATATTTTAGGAGTCTGTTTTAACAATGTTTGATTTTTCGTCCAAACTCTCCCTGTACATGCCCGACCTGACACCAGTCCCAGAGAATGGGCCGACGTCCTGAAAAAGCGGCTCGGGATGAAACGCCGGTCACAGAGAATGGGTCGACGTCCCGAAGAAATCATGAGGTCGGTGAACGCCGGGAGTCTGGGAACCCAGGCGCCCTCGGATCGCTAGTCCATGTCTGTGCGCCACCGACGAGCGCTGGGCCCCAGGCGCGGCCGCCCCTTTCGCGCGGGCGCGCCCCCACCGCGCCGGGGGGAGGGGCGCGGGCCGCCGCCGCGGGCGGCCGCGCCGCGGGGGCGGCGGCGATGCCGCGCTGGCCGCAGGCCGGCGAAGGAGGAAGGAGGAGGAGGAGGAGGAGGAGGAGGAGGAGG